TAAAGGTGTGTGTGTGCATGTGTACTATGGCTTAGTCAAAACCATTGTGCAATAACAATAAGGAGTTATGTTCATCTTTTCTGTTTAGCCTTTCACTCTGATTCACATAGTTCCCATCTTTAATAAGAACATGAATGAGATATAATCAGATCACATGGGAATTTTTCATTACAATATGCATTTTTCTCATTATAAAAATGAACGACACTATGCAGCCTCCATCGCTTAGCTGGTTAAATTGCCTGTCTTGTAGAAATGAATGACACACATTTACTGATTTTTGTTTTATGCCATACTTAGGAATTGCACCTAGGGCCTTGTGTGTGACAGGCAAATGTTATGTATTAAGTCCCTCTCCCTCTTTTTGATTTTGACACAGTGTATCACTATGTTATCAGGTATTTAGCTATAGTTATAAGTAATTAATACATTCAGTCAGCATTTGGATCTATCCACATTAGTTGACTCTACAGTTTGCTTTCCTAAACACTGTCCTCTATTGCTTCAACTCATGTCATCACCTACAGCAATATGATATTGCTTATAAAATTCTTTATGTTATAGACTTGTCAGTTTGATCTCAGAAATAACAAATCAGAACTTAGAGCTACCGGGTGACTTTCCTAAAGGGCCAGAAGTATGCTACTCTGACAAAGTATGTTCCCTGACAGAGCACAAAGATGAAAACCCACCTGTAAGACTAGTTTGCATAATAGGAGAGAATCCTGTAATTACCAAGGGCTTTAATGTTTTTCCTTTTATTGGATTCTGTGGTAGAAGCGGATTATCTGACATCCTGGAGCACCTTCTGTACTAATTCTAATAGCTATAGTGACATAATTCTACCTTGAATTTTATTGAGTGACAAAAGACATGTAGCCAATTGCATAGTTTGTTGATTGACAATCACAGAAGGGAGGGTTTGTTGAAACAGTAATCTTAAGCAGCCTCTCATATTTAAAGGTAAAAAGTAATCTGGTTTCTGTTTCTAGACTTTCTGGTGAACTCACAAGATAACCAGTGTCCCCTGCTGTTTGTTTTACACGTCTATATTTATGTCATCTCTCCTCTGGAGATGAGAAAAAACAGGAAGTACCCAAAGTTCACATAATCATTTCTCCTTCCAGAGCCTAAAACTGAAGCTAAAATTTCTAAAACTTTAAAGAAATAGTTTTGGCCCGGGGTGGTGGCACACACTTTTAATCCCAGTACTTGGGAGGCAGAGCCAGATGTATCTCTGTGAGTTCGAGGTCAGCCTGGTCTACAGAGTGAGATCCAGGACAGGCACTAAAGCTACAGAGAGAAACCCTGTCTCGAAAAACAAAAAACAAAAAACAAACAGACAAACAAACAAAAAAGAAATAGTTTTAAAAGGTGTTTAGGATCAAGAAGTTAGGCAAAGGCAGTAGGCAATCATAATGGGATATTATATAGCATATGTGATAGGGAGGTAAGATTGTGTCTGGGATATGAAGCTAAGTGTTAGAAATGTGGGAATCATAGTTGAGACTGGATATCAAAAACCTCAGACGTGGAAATGGAACTTAGGAAATAGCAGTAAGAGACTTGGAGAAACAAGGATGAAAACTAGAAAAAGAAAGGATAATCCCTAGGAAGCTCACATACTGAGTCCAGCAACAGAAACTATAAGAGAGAGCCTGCTTCAAAAGAAAAATAAGGCGAGACGTGACTCCTGAAAAGGTGACCTCTGACCTCCACATGTGAATGCTCTCCCCACCACCAATAAATAAGTCTTAAAACAACAACAACAACAAAACCAGAAGGATAAGCATACTAAAAAATATCAAGGTTTAGAAGTTGAGTGGCAGGTATAAGGATTCATGGACTATAGAAAAAATATGAAAACCCAGGGTCAAGAGTGGAAGTTGCAACAATCTAGTAATAATGTGCCTTGGATTAGATCTGTCACTGAAAACAACTATAGAAATGTGACAATTACAAATTTGGACAAATTGTGTACATATTTTGTTTTATATGCTAAAAAGACATAAACAAATACGAATATACATTTAACAACAACTATAACACCTTTACACGTACACATGCTACACCAGACAAGTAAAAAGATTATATTTAACTATTTAAGACACTAGGGAACCACCGATGAGAACAGAGCTTAATTGGCCATAGTCATTGAGAGAATAAACGCACCGTTCCTGCCTCCTCCTGAGCATTTTCTAAGTAGTAGCAAGAAGTAAGAGACAAATAGCAAGCAGCCATGTCAATACACTAAGAGTTGATAGATGTTGGAGGTGGGGAACAAAGGCTTCTGGGATTTGAGGCACAAAATTCTAGAGAGAAAAAAAGTACAGAGATGTGAACTTCAAAATCTGTTTACAAAGTCCCTGCCAATCATCAGTTAACGCCTAAGACACATGTGCAAAGGAAGAGACTTCAGGAAAGCCACTGTTGCTGTAGCACCTGAAGAGTGGAAGCTTTTAGCAGCTTCACAGTGCTGTTTCCTGAAGAATGGAAGGAAGCTTTTAGCAGCTGCACAGTGCTGTTTCCTGAAGAGTGGAAGGAAGCTTTTAGCAGATGTACAATGCTGGGAGAGTGCCTCCAGGCTCTACAAGGTAAACACCCCAGAACATGTTATAAGACCTGGCAAAGGTCATAGCCTGAGAGTAAGGACAAGTTGAAGTAAATCTGCATCAGACTGCCTTAAAAAGAGCAGTACTAGGATGAAGGTGAGATCTGCTCTTATTTGCCTAGTAAAATAAAGATGGAGAATGTTGATATAGCTCCAAGCCTCTATAATTTTTCTTTCATACTATCTGAATTAGACAAGACATTAGGCTAGGGGAATAGCTAACACATAGAACAGAGCCAGACACCAAAAATGGAATGACTCAGATGGTTGAGATTGGGGTTACTGTATAAGAACTTTAAATATGATCAAAATATTAAGAAATAGAGGGTGGTGGTGTGCACACCTTTAATCCCAGCACTGGGGAGGCAGAGGCAGGAGGATCTCTTGTGTGTTCAAGGCCATCCCAGTCTACAGAGCAAGTTCCAGGACAACCAGGGCTACACAACACCAAAAACACCAAAACCAGCTGGGTAGTGGTGGCACATGCCTTTAATCCCAGCACATAGAAGGCAGAGACAGGCGGATCTCTGAGTCTGAGGCCAGCCTGGTCTACAGTGAGTTCCAGGACAGACAAGACTACATAGAGAAACCCTGTCTGGAAAAACCAAAACCAAAATTAAAATAAAATAGAGAAAAGAAAAAGAACTTGATCAGAGACTTGGAACTTTAAAAAGTACAAGGAGCCAAATAAAAAATTTGGAATTGAAACTGTTATAAGTGATTAATTTAAAAGGGGCTATACAGCAGTTTAGACATAGCAGAATTGAATTTCTACCAAGAAGGCAACAGGCCAGTAGAAAATATTCAGTTTTAAGCTTGTGTGTACAAGCACACACAAGAAATACAGACAAGAGTGCAGGAGGCATGAAGAATACATCAGAAAGTTTTAACATACATGGACTTGGAGTTACAGAATGAAAGGAAGGAGGACAGAAGAGTATTTAAGAGAAATACTGGTCAATATTTTTCAAAGGCTGATGAAAAATGTCACATAAGAGAAACTGTGAATTTCAAGCAGAATGAATATAACCCATAGATTGAGTGACAAATGCAAACTGGTCAAGAGCAAAGAGAAAGAAAAAAACTTCAAGTATTAGAGCATATTATCTTCAAAGATGCAATAATCAGATTGGTGGCTGACTCCTGAAATGGAATAATGACAACCAGAAGACACTGGAAGGTCTTCTTTAAAATGTCAAAAGCTTTTTTAAAAAAAATTAAAAGACTAATATGGATTTTTTTTTTGTTTGTTTTGTTTTTCAAGACAGGGTGTCTCTGTGTAGCTTTGCGCCTTTCCTGGAACTCACTTGGTAGTCCAGGCTGGCCTCGAACTCACAGAGATCCATCTGCCTCTGCCTCCCGAGTGCTGGGATTAAAGGCGTGCACCACCACCGCCTGGCTAATATGGAATTTTATACCCAGCAAGACTACCTTTAAAATTGATGAGATAAGAATGCTTTCAAATTAACAAAAACTGAGCGAACTTGTTGTCAATATAAACAAACTGTAAGAAATATTTAAGGAAAATTTCCCTTTAAATACAAAAGACAATGCCCCAAAATGCAAGTGTTGAACTCTGGAGAAATAGTGACCAGGAATGAGTGACTCTGATCCCATCTCTGTTCTAATAATTTATCTCAATGGAATATTGGTGTAAAATAAAAGTTCATATAAAACTGACAAGGAGTTACAGTCAAGCCAGAGTTTTACAATTTAATGCCATATACACTGTCAGTTTAATTTTAACTCAGTAAAGTTTACAAATCTTAAAGAAACAATGGGAGCTGGGTACTGGGGAACAGGAGTTGAATATGGGGGTCAAAGGCTGTCAGTGTATTAGAGGACAAGAACATCCGTGGAGATGTGGGACTTGGGACCCATGGGTGATGTATTTGTTTCAGAGTCCTGTCAGGAATCAAGATAGTCTGTGGCAGATTTAAGATTTACTTATTATGTGTATACAAGTGATGCAGGAATCCGCTAAAGCAGCTGGATCTCCACAAGCCGGAGCAGCAGGCAGTTGTGAGCTTGTGGGTATTCTCCACTGCTGAGAGGTCGCTTTGGCCCGTCTATGGTAGCAAGCCCTGGCACACACCTATATGCCTATATGGAGATGACGATGACTGCAAGTTCGAGGCCAGCCTGGGCCACATAGTTACAGGCCCGGCAGGTGAGACCGGGTCTCAAAAAAAAAAAAAAAAAAAAAAAAAAAAAAAGTCGGCGGCCATGGCGGACAGTTGGGTCGCGGTGGTGGGTTAAAGGGCAGAGGTCAGAGGCTCAGACCTGAGGAGGCAGCGGTTGCAACAGGAGCGCACCGGCAGTTGGGCGTGGGCGCCCTTGAGGGCACGCCCCCTCCGCCCCGCCAGCCCCGCCCCCTCGCGCTCCGGGCTCCAGGCGGAGCGCGCCGAGCACAGGGAGCGAGCTGCGTGGGGATCCCGCTGCGGCCGGGCTCGCGCCGCGCCCTCGCTCCCCCTCCCCTCGGCCCTAGGGCCGCGCGGCCCGCGCCGCTCCGGGAAGATGGCGCTGCACTTTCAGGTCAGTGCGCCGGGCTGCGGGCCTGGAGCGCCGGCGGCGGGCCGTGGTGGTGGTGGTGGTGGTGGGATCCCAGGCCGCGACCCCGAGCACAGCCCCTGGCCCGGGGACGGTGGGGGGCGGCGGGCTCAGAAGAGCGGGCTACGCTCGGTGGCGCCGCCGAGTCCGCCCTCGTCGGCACGGCTGCAGCAGCGTCCGGGCAGGTGGGAGCCCGGACCGAGGGGCAGCCATCCGGCCCTCACGCTCAGCCCGCGGTCCGCGCCCTCCCGGGGAGCCTGAACTCGGAGGCCGGGGCGGCGGGAGCGCGGGAGCGCGGCTAGAGGACTGTCATTGGCCGGAGGCGGGCGGGCGGGTCGGGGCGCGGCGCGGCCGGGAGCGCGCAGCCTCATTGGCGGAGCCTCGGGGCAGGGCGCGGGCTGCGCCGGAGGGATGCGGCGGATTCTGCCCCGTGGCTCCCGCACTCTGCGGGTCTTCGTCCCACTGACGTCTGCTGAGCCTCCCCCACTGTGTCTGTTCTGTGGCGGAACGTTCTGGGGCTGCAGGGCGACATCCACGACCACCCTTGGCCTTTTAGAGCGCGCGGTAATTTACCGCACACGTGAAAACTGTTATGGTAGAATTAGTCACGGGATATCGCGGGAGCACCGACAGGCAGTCAATCGCGTATGCGGAGGGGAACCTCCACTTGTTACTTGGTTCCTACGGCTGGTACATACACCTCTGAGCGAACAACTGCCTTTTAGTCTCTGGAACGTGGGACTTGTAGGAACTGTAGCTGCCCGGGTAAAGAGGAAAGGAAGGCTGCAGAGGCGTAAAGGGCAAAGCAAAGAATTGTGGAAGACCTTGATACACTGCGAAAGCCTGTTCCTGGATCCTAAGACTGAGTTGGAAAGAAAGCGCTCGGGGGAGGTTGTGGATGACAGATGACTTAGTAGCAGAGTCTTAACTTGATGACAGTGTGTCTAAGTGTCATGTTCCCCTTGTAGACTTATAAGAATCCTCTGGTCACATGAACTTACTGCTTTATTACTTCTTCTAGGGTATTCCATCTAGGAAATAGGCCCACACTTGGTGTTTTGACTTAACCCTTTTTTTTTTGTTGTTTGTTTGTTTAAGGGTTCCCAGGTCAGAGTTATTATCACTTTAGTAAATATGTCCTGTGGGGAATTTTTACAGCAAGAACCTACTGTGAATCATAAATAGATAATCATATACATAGTGCAGGCATGTCTTGGGTAAATTAGAAGGTATGGAAGAACTTTGGAACTTTTTGGACTTGGAAAGATGGTGCCTGATAAATTGCCAAGTCCTGGAAGCCTTCTTCATACCCAAGTTCAATATTAGAAAAACTTAGATGTTGATGCCCAAACTGGTCAAATCATTCCCAGAAATGTACATTAAAGTGCTATTTTTAGGACATTGCTTCAGTGTCTTTTTCACACTTGGTAATTAATTATGTGGCTCATTGACATAAATGTCCACAGTGTGGACTGGCCGTCTGTGCTTTTATCCTTGAATCCATGCCCTGGCTTCCTGGAAGGCGTCATTCCCACAGTCGGTTCAATCACAAGCACGCTAGTTAGGAGCCAGTGAGTTAGGGTGTACTCTGTCTCCAAAGAAGAAATGGATCCTGGTCATCTCTGAGGAGGCAGCCAGGTGGAGGGGCACAACGAGGAAAGACAGAATGAGATAAGTAGCCTGACAATGATACTGGAAAAAGCTTGGTGGACTCTGAGTGATTTGCTCTCTGAATGGTTCTGGAGTCAAAGACTGTCAGCTATTTAATCTCCACTTAGGCTGGATGTTCTAGTTGTGACTGAGAAATAAACAACGTTAGTGTGATGAAAAGTGATTTGGGAAAGGTAGTTGTTAGGCTGAAGTGTGGCAGTCATTGGAATACTTTCCCTTTCTATCTTAATCGACATAGTTGCTTCAGATGTTTTCTGTCTGTAGTTCTGCTAGTGAGACTTAGGAAAGCTTTGGTCACTCAGTAAATGAGTGTCAGATTCTAAAGCTTGTGCCCACTCCATGGGACCAATGACTTACCCTGCACTACTTACTTTCCACTCATTCCTAAGCAGCCTCTGGAGATTTTTACTTAATTGCACTATGTTTGAGTATTAGTGGAATCTTTACAGAGAAACTTGGTAGAACTTGATGGGTATAAGTAAATTGGTGTGCACCTGGAGTTGGCCAGACTGTGGTTTAAGACACAGTCCATAAAACCCTTTTGGCACCAACAGCAAATTCAGGGATTTCCCACAGTCCCCCCCCCCCCCCCCCCCAAGGTATGACAGTTCATCAGTAGGGCTCACTGAGTTCATCAAAAGCTATCACATTCATAATTGTGATTCATTATAGGGAAAGAATACAGATTAAAATTGGCTAAAGGGAGGATATAGAGGATAATCTATGAAGGTTCTAAAATACATCTTTTGTTCTCAGGATAGGATGTTCTCCTGGCATCCATGTTACGTGTACCACTGCACGGTGGGAAGGCTCACCTACTCTTTAGTATCCACAGTATTTATTCAAACTTCATTAATTAGACATGACAGATAATTTCTAGTTCCACGGGTAACCTGTGACCCAAAATCATCACCCTAAACCAAAACCCTGAAATTGTGACTACCAGGTATGGTCAGTGCTTGTCCTAAAAAATAACTCCTGTCAACTATGACATAGATTATCTACCAGAAACTGAGGGCAAAGGTCAGGCCTCTTTTTGGGCAAGACTTCTGTCTTAGTTAGGGTTTTTATTGCTGTGAAGAGACACACACCATGACCATGGCAACTCTTATAAAGGAAAAACATTGAATTGGGGTGGCTTACATTTTCAGAGGATTAGTCCATTATCATCATGGTGTAATGTAGTGGTGTGCAGACATGGTGCTGGAGAAGTAGCTGAGGGTCCTACTTTTTGGCTTGCAGGCAACAGGAAGTGGTCTGTGACACTAGGCGGTGTCTTGAGCATATATGAGACCTCAAAGCCTACCTCCACAGTGACACACTTCCTCCAACAAGACCACACATACTCCAAAAAGGCCTTACCTCCTAATAGTGCCACTCCCTTTGGGGCACATTTTCTTTCAAGCCACCACCATATTTCACTCCCTGGCCCCTCTCAAAGACTTATAGCTATATCATAATGCAAAAATGCATTTAGTCCAACTTCATAAGTCCCCATAGTCTATTATATAGTCTCAACAATGTTTAAAAGTCCAAAGTATGAAGTTGCTTCTGAGACATATGCAATCTCTTAACTGTAATCTCCCATAAAATCAAAATAAAAAAACCAAATCACATACTTCCAACATATAATGTCACAGGATATACATTACCATTCCAAAATGTAGGGAAAGGAGTATAGTGAGGAAATACTGGACCAAAGCAAGACTGAAAACCAGGTGGGCAAACTCCAAACTCTGTATCTCCATGTCTGATGTCAAAATACTCTTCAGATCTCCAGCTCATTTCAGCTTTGTTGACTGCAATACACTTCTTTCTTGGGCTGGTTTCACCCCTTGTTAGCAGCTTTCCTCAGCAGGTATCCCATGCCTCTAGCATCTCTAACATCTTGGAGTCTCCAAGGCAGTCCAGGCTTCAACTTCATAGCTTCACCCAATAGTCTCTCTAGGCCTCCGTTCAGGGATACCCCTACACGTTCCTGGCCTTGGTTCCTTTCTTTAGTCACAGTCGGAGATTCCATAATGCCTTTCTTCTATCCTTGACTCTAAAGCCAGAACCAAGTGGCTGAAGCTACCAAATTCTGCTGCTGCTGGGGCTGGAATATGGATGCCCCCTCATTCAATTACATCTTCCCCAGCTTTCTGTTTTCAGTAATTTCCTTCACTACCTAAGCTTGGCTGTTCTGAATTTCCTCTGTAGACCAGGCTGGCCTCAAACTCAGATAGCTACCATCCTCTACCTTCTGAGTGCTGGGATTAAAGGCCTGCACCACCACACCTGGCGCTAAACTTCTCTTTAATTTGTTCACACATTTGGAAATTTAGCTGGTGGGATCTTGCCCTGAGGTTACCACTCCCTTTATTCCATTTATTAAGCTGTTTATCTCCTTGAACACAGGACTTAGCTCCATTCCGGTTTTTTTGGTGCTCATTTTCTCTTTAAATTTTACATTTTGTAATTTACCTTGCTCAGCTTGCTCCTTTGAGTTATAAATCTTCACTAGAGTTACCACTAAGAACCACACGACAGAGTCTATATAAGGCTGTTTTGAGATTTCCTCTGCTAATGGAATTAATCCAAAACTCTTCACTCTAACCTCAGGCAGACTCTTCGGACAAGGGCAAAAGGCAGCCACTTTCCTCCTCAAAGTACCAAAGAGTGATCTCTAGACAGCATCCTAAAATTCTTCTCTGAAACCTCCGCAGCCAGTACCCCACTGTTCAGTTCACTCTTAGCACCCTGTTTTCCATGCTCCTACTAGTATGGACCATTAAGCATCACTTAAAGTGTTCAACTGCTTTTCTAATCCATACTCCCATGGTCCATATTCCTTCAAACAAAAGCATGGTCAGGCCTATCACAGCAGTACTCTAGTCCCTGATACCAACTTCTGCCTTAGTTAGGGTTTCTATTGCTGTGAAGAGACACCATGACCATGGCAACTCTTACAAAGGAAAAACATTTAATTGGGGTGGCTTATAGTCAGGTTTAGTCCATTATCATCATGGTATGACATGGTGGTGTGCATGTGTTATGCCAGAGTCATGAGCCCCCCAGAGATCACCTGGAGTCCGAGTTCATATGCAAAAGCAAAGAGCTTTTATTGCAAGCTCAAGCTTGTTCAAGCAAGTTGGATCAGGAAGAGCATCAAGCTCAGTTGAGGCAGGGTTTTTAAGGAGTAAAGGATGGAGGGATCAGGAAATTGTGGATTCAGATGGGTGTTGAACTCCTGATTGGGCAGGGGTGAAGTAACAGAAATTTTGTCAAACAGATTGGTACTGGTGTTGCTGCAAGGAAATTGGCAACCTATATAC